GAGTCTCACTCTTGAGGGGTTCTGACCATTGCCTTGATGGCTCCCGGGTGAACAGCTTACTTGTTGTTGTAGTAATCAATCCAGACTGCCATTATTGTTTTGGAATTTTCCTGCTAGTCTTTATTTCACTTAGTATCTTCTGCTCTTCTGGCCACTCTAGTAGGCTGACCTACTCGTCCTTTCCAGTGGAAATTTCCTACCTCAGACGATTCTGGATGGGGTACTGGATTCTACCTGTGGTCTTATCAGCCATTCCTTTTTGATATATTTACTCTGTGTATAGCTTCTATCTTCTTTTGATTCTTTCTGCATCATTCAATATTTTGCCCACGTTGTTGTTGTTAGTTGCCAATGACTCGGTTCTGACTCAAAGCGACCGTATGCCCAACAGAATGAAACACTGCGAGGTTATGGGCCATGTTCACAATTATTGTTAGGCCTGCGCCCATTGCTGGTGCCACTGTGACAGTTTTGTCTATGTCATTATCAAGTACCATCAGTTGGTGGGTTTGAACCACCGACCTTGAGGTTAACATTCCAGTGCTTGTCCTACAGCACCACACTAGGACTCCAATTTTGCCCATTGTTGTTGTTGTTATGTGCCATGGAGTCGGTTCCGACTCCTAGTGACCATGTCCGGGGTTTCTGAGGCTGTAAATCTTTACGGGAACAGAAAGCCTCATCTTTCTCCCACGGAACAGCTGGTAGTTTCGAACTGCTGATCGTGAGATTAGCAGCCCAATTCGTAACCAATACGCTACCAGAGCTCCTTTTTTTGCCCATAGAATCCTTCAATATTGCAAGTTGAGGCTTGTATTTTTTCTTCAGTTCTTTCTGCCTGAGAAATGTCGAGCATGTTCTTTCCTTTTGGTTTTGTGACTCCAGGTTTTGCAAATTTCATTGTAATACTTGGCTTTGTCTTCTCAAGCTGCCCTTTAAAATGTTCTCTTCAGCTCTTTTACTTCCTTATTTCTTCCATTTGATTTTGCATTTCTATGCTAGAGAGAAAGTTTCAGAGTCTCTTTTGACATCAACTTTGGTCTTTTCTTTCCTCCTTGTCTTTTTAATGACCTTTTGTTTTGTACCTGGATGATGTTCTCGATGCCATTCCACAACTTTTCGGGTCTTCAGTCATTAGAGTCTAATGCATCAAATCTGTTCTTGAGATTGTCTCTGAATTCAGGTGGGATATGTTCATAGTCATAGTTTGACTCATGTAGACTTGTTTTCATTTTCTTCAGCTTCATCCTGAACTTGTATATGAGCAATTGATGATCTGTTCTACAGTGGGCCCTGCTCTGGTTTGGCTGATGATATTGAGCCCTTCCACAGATTCCTGTGTATTGAATCGTGTGTATTCTATCTGGTGAAGTCCATATGTACAGTTACTTTTTATGTTGTTTAAAAAGGTATTTGCAATGAGTAAGTCATTGGTCTTGCAAAATTCTATAATGTGATCTCCAGCATGGTTTCTATCACTAAGGCCATATTTTCAAACTACTGATCTTTCCTCTTTGTTTCCAGCCTTTGAATTCCAATGACCAGTAATTATCTATATGTATTGATTACATGTTTGATCAATTTCAAACTGAAGAAGTTGGTAGAATCCTTCAATTTCATCATCACTAGCTTTAGTGGTTGGTGCATAAATTTGAATAGTATTGGTATTAACTGGTCTTCCTTGTATCATTGTTGTTGTTAAGTGCCGTTGCATAGGGCTTCCGACCTTGCAGTTCAATAGAGTCATATGGATATTATCCTGTCATAGACAGCGTTGTACTCCAACAGATCTTAAAATGTTCTTTTTGACGATAAATGCTACGCCAATACTCTTGAACATGTTGTTCCTGGCATAATAAACCTTATGATCATCAGATTTTAAGTGGTTAATACCAGTCCATTTCAGCTCACTAATGCTTAGGATATCAGTCTTATATGTTCCATTTCATTTTGACAAAGTCCAATTTTCCTAGATTCATACTTCATGCATACCATACTCTTATTATTAATGGATATTTGCAGCTGTTTCTCATTTTGAGTTGTGCCCCATCAGCAAATGAAAGTCCTCAACCCTTTAGTTCATTCGTGTCATCAAGGTCAACTCTTCCCCAGTCATATGTTGAGTACCTTCCAACCTGAGGAGCTCATCTTCTGGCAGTATATCTGACATTATTTTGCTGCTATTCATAAGGTTTTCAGGGGCTTACCATTCAGAAATAGTCTGCTTCTCCTTCCTAGTCTGTCTTAGTCTGGAAGCTCTGCTGAAACCTGTCTACCATGGGTGATAGTATTTAACATATCGGTAGCATAGCTTCTAGCATCACAGCAACACACAAGCCACCACAATACAACAAACTGACAAACCCTCCTGTCAGGAAAGAATTAGAAATAAACACAAAAAAATAAACAAAACCAGATCCTGTTTGTAAAACACTGAGCCAGGTTTCCCAGAAATAGGAGGTGCTCAGTAAATGGCAGGTGCACACGTAATTGCCCCCCATCTTCTGACTTGCCAGCCTCTCCTGAAACCTCAGCCAGTACCTACACTACAACTCTGTAGCTGTTCTGCACTTCATGAAATGACCCAGCTGGCACAGGTGTGATGGGATGACACCTGCACTTCAGTGGGGACTCAGATGGACAGCTAGGAGTGGGCTTTTGGGCAGGGGTGGGGTGGAACACAGCATACAGAAGTCGTTTTGTCACTGCTGACTGAGAAAAGCCAGAGCCAGGGTGGTCCTAAAGAGAATGACAGGTGGCCAGGTGTCTTAGTTTCTGAGTACTGTTTTAACAAAAGTAATCACAATGGGTGACTTCTAAAAATGCAAATGCATTTTCTTACAATTCTGGAGGTTGAAAGTTTGGAACATGCTGATCCTTTCCTTGTCCTTAGCCCTGAGTGTTCCTTGGTTCCTTGGCTTGTGGATGAACCTCACATGGCTTCTGTCTGTCCCCTGTGTGTGTCTGTGTTTATACTAAGAGAAGTGATTAGATTTAGAACCCACCCTACCTGGGCTTGACCTAATGAATGTAACAAAGAAATCCCTATTCTCAAGCACTATTGCATCCACAGGTATAAGAGGGATTAGGATTCCAATACATCTTTTGCTGTGGGAGACACAATTTAGTCCATAATAGAGGGTATCAGTATGGATTAAATTCTACCTCCCCAGCAAAAAGATGTATTGGAATCCTAATCGCTCCTGTACTTGTATCAGGAGTTCTGGTGTGGCACTGTGGATTAATGTGCTGAACTGAAAAGTCGGCTTGAACTGCAAGGTTGGTGATTCAAGTCCACCAACCGCTCCTTGAAAACTCTATACAGAGTCACTATGTGTCGGACCTGACTCGACAGCACTAAACAACAACAACAGAGGGTACCAAGCCAGTGAGTCCCGCCTGGCCGCTTATCCAGATGAGAAATAAAGCCTTTATAGAGCCTGTCTAGAAATAACCATCTTTGGCAAGAAGATCCAGACACAGAGAGAAAGCACAGGCCCCGTGCATTTCTCGGTTGAGCTGATGACTCCCCCACCTCCTACCCTCACAGCCCAGGCTCAGGACCTTTCCCTCGAGGCCCACAAGGGGAGAGTTGAGGGCCCATTGGGGTCATGCTGAAAGATGTTAGTGTTCACTGTCTTTGGCTTTCTGCCTACAACTTCACGGCCTACTGGTTTGCCCACTTTCATACTATACTGCTTAGAAATGTGAGGCTGGACTCTAGGTAGAATCTGGAATTCCAAGCTCTGTGACATTTGTGTACAGTGTTGTTTCAGACACATTCCTGGAAACTGGTCATCTGAGAACATACTTTTTAGGGGAGACTGAAAAGAGGCTGAGGTTGCATGAAACCAACATGGCTCCTTTCCAAGGCCTAAGAAGCAGTTGGATCGTTTGGGTCCTTTCACGATTAATAGGAACCACAGAATATTCTATAGAACATCCCAATCATGAGAAGCCTTAAGGGAAATTGAAGTCCCTGCCAACCCACCCCAAACAAGGCTGGCATTCTCCTTAGGAGTAAAGTACCCTTTTCTTCCTGTTGGGAGACAGCAAGAAAAGATGTTCTTATGTCAACAAGATGTTTTCAATTTTCTTTCACAAGATGCCGTGGACTGATAAACCTAATCTCTTTAGTAGAAATGCTTTGCACACTAAACTTGTGCCTAGGGACTTCTGAACAAAAAAGGATGGCTACAGAGTTCTAAAACATCATCTTGCTTTCTAGTTGAAATATTTCTATAACTTCACTGTGGACAACTGGAAGAATGTTTTAGAAAGCATAAATAAGCAAAGGAAAATCACCTGGACTCCCACCATTCAGAGAAAAACCTTATTAAGCTTAAAAAATATGTCTCTCTCTATATATAGATTTTCCATAGGACTGTTGGTTATTAGCAGTTGAACATGTCCCTTTTCTAGCACTAAGGGTCAAGAGAAACTATTACCTGATTGCACATACAACTTTAAGGAATAGGACGGCTTCTGGATGGGAATCTGGAGCTTTAATTTTTCCCACCCCTCGCCATTCCAGTGGGCCAGACTTCCTTCTTATAGCTTCCCTGGATTGTGTTCCTGTTCAAAATGTGCCCCACATGGGTGCTGGCAGGAAGGAGACCCAAAATCAAAGGCCCAGTGGGTGGATATCACGGCTAGCAGTCTCTGCTCAGCTTAAGCACCTTTGCAAATTAGAAAATGGTCTCTCTAGGTGAACATGGCTGGGAGGTAGGCCAGCAGAGCTCCAGGTGGGTGCAGTTGTGCCAGCATACTTGGCAGGCTAGTAGAGGGAGGGTTGTGTTTCAGGTCTTCCCACACATGGGGCTGGGCTGTTGGTAGTCCCTGCAGGCTGAGGGTTTTGTTGATGGAGAAACTAGACAGGACGGTATGGAGAGGTGCAAACCAAGAGTCACTCTATGGAACCAAGTTAACCCATAATTATTGTTGATGTTTGTAGAACTAGAGCTCATATACTTGAATTTGAAAAGTATTTCTTTTCTTAGATATCAGCGAATGCTCCAGCCAGCCTTGTCAAAATGGAGGGACATGTGTAGAAGGAGTCAGCCAATACAAATGTATCTGCCCACCAGGAAGGACTGGGAGCCGCTGTCAGCAGCAAGCCCAGACTGGTACGTAGCTGCTAGATGAAGACATTACACCACAGAGAGAGGGGGAACCTAGTCCTAGATCACCATAATGTAGACAGGTAGGAGGTTCACTTCCTCACGCTGGTTCCTTGAGGTGGTATTTGGAACAGAACTTAGTTCTTTTGTGTAACCAGAGTTTTGATACTCCTTACAGAAGAAAAAACGAGTAGAAGGACTGGCTCGCAGCATGAGACCTCGTCAGGTTAGGAGTTTGGCCTGAGAATGGTACTGCCGTGGCTTGGTCAGTCTTTTTTTCTTCCTCCATCAGGACAGCTTCTCTTCTCAGATGTTTCCATCACTTCCTGCAAAATTAGTTGTTATTGATGCAGGCCAGAGTATTTCAAGAGCTGGATAACACGGCATTAGATTGCTTTTATAAACATATCAAGTCCCAACATAACCTTAGCTGGAAGGAAGGTGTAAGAAGCCACACAGTGGCTGGTTTTGTATACAGCAAGAGTGCCCAGTGATAGGGAATCTATGGACAGATGGGTTTGCACACTATGTTGCAACTAAAAAATTTTCTCTCTATATATAAAAAAGTTAAATCCAAAGATGCCCTATTCTTTTGTCAAGTACAAAATAAAACTCCTGCCCTGTTTGGTTGTCTTCAGTTCCCTATGGGAATATCTATGGGAGGAGGGGGTGCTTGTAGATGTATACAGAGAGTAGGAGCTCTATCAATATTGATTTGATTTGATTGGCTTCACTTTCTGATACCTAGGCACAGAACGCAGCCCAAGGTCAGTTTTAAATGTTGCTTGTAGAAGCTTGCTGTGTACTGAGTCTTGATTCAGTTCAGCTGAGTAAACTTCAGGGTTCTTGCTGGGCCTCGGGCAGCTTTCTCTGATGCAGGCTGTCCTCCAGTGGAGACCAGAGTCTCCCCTTCCCCCCTTTTAGGCTCCTGTCCCTGAGAGGAGTCCTAGGGCTTTTCTTTGTGAAGACAGATAACCAAGGCAGGGCCCTCTTGGCAACCCTACTACCTCTACTCCCTATTTGGACCCTCTGCTAAAAAACTGCATTAATTTATATCTGGGGTTGAAATGCAATTTCTCAGCAGAGGGTCCAACTTGTATGAACCGGTTCATATCCCTGGGGAAAAGACATGGGCCTCCTTTGAACCCAAATGTATTGGTCCTGGACACTGACTAGTTAGATTCCAGGAGCATCAGGCATTTGTTCCTCAGGAGCAGGGAGCATGTACAAAAGATCCCATGGCAGCAATCTTGTCCAGCATAGGGAAGGAGGAATAAATAGGTGTATCTGAAGCCTGATCATGCCCTCACCGTGTCCATCAACCATTAGGCTCACCTAGGCCCTGGACTTTCAGCCTGAAACCTTCCTTCCCATCATGCTCCAACTAGATTTCCCACAGATTCTTCAGTCTCTCCCAAACACATGAGATCTTTAAATACTTTGAAATCTTTAAAAAAAATTAACTTTTCCCCCGATATAACAAATTAGCAAAAAAACCTCAAATGTAAACATTTTGGAAAAGTTTTTGTTGTTGTTGTTGTTGTTGTTGTTAGGTGCCATCAAGTCGGTACCATCCTATAGCGACCTTTTGCACACCAGAACAAAACACTGCCCCATCCTGGACCAACCTCACTACTGTTGCTGCGCTTGAGTCCATCAATGCTGCCACTTGCCCAATCCATCTCCTTGGGGGGTCTTCCTCTCCTTCTCTGACCCTCCACCTTACGAAACATGATGTTCTTCTCCAGAGACTGGTCCCTCCTGACAATATGTCTGAAGTATGAGAGACAAAATTTGGCCATCTTGGCCTCCAAGGGGGCACACTGGCTGCACTTCTTCCAAAACAGATCTATTGGTTTTTTTGGCAGTCCATGGCACTTTTAGTATTCTCCTCCAACACCATAACTCAAAAGCATCAGTTAGTCTACGGTCTTCTTTATTCACTGTCCAGCTTTCACATGTATATGAGGTTATTGAAAATACCATGGCTTGGGTCTGGCACACCTTAGTCCTCAAGCTGACATCTTTGTTCTTCAACACTTTAAAAAGGTCTCGTGAAGCAGATTTGCCTAAGGCAGTAGTCTCTCAGTGAGTGGTGATAGTTGATCCAAGAAGAATGAAGTCCTTGACAACCTCAATCTTTTCTCCATTGATAAAGAATGTTGTTTATTGGTCCAGTGGTGAGGAATTTTGTTTTCTTTACATTGGAAAAGTAGTGAGGGAAAAAAAGAACAGGAAAAGGTAGTGGCCCTATAGTTCAGAATTCCAGTGGCAAGTTAGTATTTTGATGCTTTTTAACTGTCTAACTGAAATTGTGGGCCTAATGTTGTTAAGTGCTGTCAAATCGTTTCCGACTCATAACAACCCTGTACAGGGCTTTGGAAGAGCGGTTGGTGAGTTTGAACTGCTGTCCAGTGGTTATCTTACAGCGCCACACCAAGACTCCAGGGCTTAGCTTAACTTTGTTGTTGTAGTTAAGTGCTGCTGAGTCGATTCCGACCCATAGCGACCCTGTATAGAGTTTCTAAGGAGCCACTGGTGAGCTTGAACCACCGACCTTGCAGTTGAAACAATTTTGCAGTATAACGCATTTTCCAACAGCGCCACACCAGGACTCCTTAACATTGTTGTTGTTAAATGCTGTCGAGTCGATTGCGACCCTATACAGGGTTTCCAAGGAGCAGCTGGTGAGCTTGAACTGCCAACCTTGCAGTTCAAACGGCTTACATTAGGGCAGTCCTTTTCTCTGTAGTTGTGTGGCCGGCTTTTTCATTTGACATTATACAAGGGGTTGGGGGGGTTGTTCAAAAGTTCGTGGTAAAATAGAATTGAGAGATATTGAAATACCTCCACGAATATTTTGAAGCCCCGCTGGTATTCGGGTGCGCTCCCCGTCTACTCCCGCATGTTGGGCCCTGGACCGCTCTGCTCACTTTATGGTTAACTTGTCTGTCCTTTCCTTACTCCAGATTAAGCTCTTTGAGAAAGAGCTGTGCTCCCATTTTAGCTCTCCTCCCGACCCCTCCCCAAGGGCCGGCACTGAGAGTGTCTTCTCCCCGCAGCCGACCCCGAGGGCCCCATAGCCAGCGATTCTGCCTTCAGCCGAGCACCGCGCTGTGCGCAGGTGGAGCGGGCGCAGCATTGCAGCTGCGAAGCCGGATTCCACCTGAGCGGCTCCGCCTCCGCCGACAGCGTCTGCCAGGGTAGGCGGAGGCGCCAGCGGCGGGGATAGGGGCGAGGGGCGGGGTCTGGGATTCCCACTCTACCGCCCTCCTGCCGGGCACGCTCCGGGTCAGAGAAGAGGGTGCAGTGGGAGGATGGAGTGGCTTCCAGAGCTCAGTCTCTGAAAGCCCCGGCCACTTGATGTGATTTTTTTTGAGGTAAGTGGTCACCTGTGGTTGTTACAGTGCTCAGACTTTAGGGCCCATGGTAAAGTAAGACTGTAGATAAAATTGCCACAGGGTCCCAAGCTCTCCCGAATGTCAGAATATGCTCTGGCCTCAGCCACCTCAGCTTCTCCTGGCAGAAGAGTCTTGATGGCTCTCAGCAATCCTTCCTGGCTCTCCCATGTCTGCAGGGGGGCAGGAGGGCAGGAGGGCAGGAGGGGCTTAAATCACATTAAAGGTAGACCAGGCCTTGGGGCTGTGCTCACTCCCTAGTCCCCTTGCGGTTTGGCTCCACAGACCAAAGTTCTTTTTTACAACTCAAGTGAAGAGCCTTCAAAATCTGGGTTTCGGTCATTTGGTGCTACTGTTATTTATTGTTACTGCTGTTAAGTGCCATCGTATCGGTTCTGACCCATAGCGACCCTGTGGACCCTGTATAGGGTTTCGGAGAAGCAGCTGGTGAGCTTGAACTGCCGACCTTGCAGTTCAAACGCCTTTACAGTCTGGCGCATTAACCCACAGCACCACAGCAGGACTTTGTTGTTAAGTACTGTCAGGTCTGACTCATAGTGACCCTGTACAGGGTTTCTGAGGCTGTAAAGCTTTACGGGAGCAGAAAGCCTCATCTTTCTCCCTGGTAGTTTCGAACTGCCGACCTTCAGGTTAGCCCGAGTCGCAACCACTACGCTACCAGAGCTCCGTTATTTTTTGTTGTTGTTGTTGTCAAGTGCCGTCGAGTCGATTTCAACCCATAGCGACTCTGTATAGGGTTTCCAAGGAGCAGCTGGTGAGCTTGAACTACCGACCTTGCAGTTCAAACAGCTTTGCAGTCTGGCGCATTAACCCACAGCGCCACACCAGGACTCCCTGTTATTTATTAGGTGCCTTCAAAACCCTATGTACAACAGGGGTCGTAATAGCCTCATATTACAGCAGAAGAAATGAGACCCACTAACTCCATGCCAACCACTGCCAAAGAAGAGGAGGTTAAGATGGGGCTGCTGATGGGGTAGGAGGCTCTTCAGTCTGCTCTTTGGGCTGCCCGTTTGCCAGTCTCTGCGTGGTCTCCTCAATTAGTCTTCAGCCTTAGACAATGGAGCCCAGCTATGGTCTTTCAGTCCTGTGACATCTGCCCCTCCCCCCTTACTTCTACTTTCAACTCTTTGGGATCATGACTTGGGAAAAGGGGGAGCACCTTGCGTTCTCCCCTGCATTCTCCTGGTGAAAGGGCTCAGCAGCCTCGTCTGGCCCAGACATTTGGGCACATTGTCGTAGCCTCCAGACATCGAAGTGCGGCTGTCCTTGCTCATAGGTTGGTGTGTACCTACCTGCTGTGTGGCTCCTGGAGTTAACAGCAGGTACTTCTGTCCCCAGATGTGAACGAGTGTGAGCTCTACAGGCAGGATGGACGCCCCCGGCTCTGCATGCATGCCTGTGTGAACACTCCGGGCTCCTACCGCTGTGCCTGCCCCAGCGGATACCGCATTATGGCCGATGGGAAGAGCTGTGAGGGTGAGTGAACCGCAGCAGGGGTAGCAGTGGGAGCGGGGGAAGCATCTCAGAACCCAGGTGCTCACTGCTGCTGCCTTGACCTGCCAGGACCTCAGAATGGGGTTGGATAGGCCAAGGTCTAGATATGCATTATAGTATTTTTTAAAACCAATAAAAGAAATTTCTAAAAAATCAGGCTCTAAGGTGGGTGTTGTGTGCTGTCAAATTAATTCTGACTCACAGCAACCCTGTATAGGGTTTCCAAAGAGTGACTGGTGGATTTGAACTGCCAGCCTTGTGGTTAGCAATCCAGTGCTTTTCCTACAGTGCTACACCAGGACTCCAAGGTGGTCTGCATAAATAGGAAATACGTTCCTTAACCATCCTGGTAAGTAGTCTCTTTTGACCTTAAGTGTGTAACAGTGTGCACTGTCAGGTCATATCCTGCCACTCAGCAAAGCCTTCAACTAGGGCTGGACCCCACGGCAGAGCAGTCACTGACCCATGTGGTGGGATCTGGGGGCAGCCATAAAGCTCCTTTGGCACAGTACATCTTCCCATAGCCCTGTGAGGGTACCTGAAAGTCTATCCATGCTCCCAAGAGGATACTCGTACCTGGGAAAGAGATAGCATCTTCAGGCCTTTGTGCTTGGTATGGCCTGCCCCCCCAGCACTGGTCCTGTTGGAAAGTTGGAAAGTTGACACAAGAAAGACAAGCACCCGTGCACCATGAGAATGTGAGAATGGGAAGTCATCAGTACCCCTGGGTTTAAGGGGTGAGGGAAGGGAGGGGGCTGTCTGAAAGACAGGCTTTGGAGGATGCAGACACCCTCAGAACCACATCCAGGCAAGGGTGGTGCAGGGAAGAAATATCCCAGCCCTTCAGAACTTCCATTGGCCAAACCCAGTTGAAAGCCAAGAGGAGCAGGACCGGGAGCTGGGGAGTCCAGAACACTTCATCTCCCTAGAAAAAGAGCAGAGCCAAGAGAAGGTTGGGGGAGGTTTACAACTTGGTAGAAAGGAGAGGCTGACGTCGCAGGACACTCCCAGCAGTCACCCTCAGCAGACAAGTCCCAGGGACAGTGGGCATGTTAATGTTGTTAGCTACTGTTGGCCCCATGCACAAGGAAACAAAAGTCTTTTTTTCCTAGTCCATCCAAGTCTGTAAGTTCCAGTGGAACCTGTTCAGTGTCATTGCACTATGCAAGCCTTCAGTGACAGATGGGTGTTGGCCATGCTTGATGTGCACCGACCAGGAGTAGAACCCGGTCTGCTCCATGGAAAAGGGTCATTCTGCAATGGACCCACCACTGGACATGCTAATAAGTCCCTGTCTAATCACCTTAGCAAGACTAAAACCGCCTCCATTAAAATCACCCACTCAGGAAAGCATGGGGCGTTTGCGACCTTTTCCACCAGTGCCTTGATTTGTACTTTCATGATGACTTTTAGCCCATGGGTAACTTATGAGTTGGAATTGACTTGCCAACAATGGGTTTGAGTTCTGGTGTATTGGCCTGTGGAGGCCTTCCATTACCCCAATACTCTGAACCTCCACATAATGTTCGGAGTCAGAAAATACATCTCTTCTTGAAGACCACCAAGTGGAGTCTCCTATTGCTGATCCCAAAACAAGCCCTGGAAACCCACTGCTACAGCTGGTCTTCGGGGAAACACATCTTTGTGAAGTAGGAAGGTGTTCTGGAAGAGAAATTGAACGTGACATGGCCTCAGAGCATTCTCAGGCTGGTGGTGGTGACAGGCTCATAGTGACCCTGTATAGCAGGGCTGGGAGCCTTTTTTTTTTTAAGTTTTTATTGTGAATTATGTAGGTTTACATGAGAGAACATCAGTTTTACATTCATCCTATCGTATTTCATTTCATTGCAATTATTACATTCCCCTCTATGCATCTTCAAACAACCAAAGGATACACCCCACAGGCCCACCTCGCTGGCTGTCAGCACACAGCCCCTCTTCCTCCTTGAGTCCCATGTCCCCAGCCACTCCATCTGTCCATGTCCTCATCTCTATCTCCATGCCTGGTATCACTGCCTCTTTGGGTAGAGTCATGCTCTCCGCTCTTCTCACTTTATGGTCCCAGGTACCTCCACTCCTGGGCTGCAAAATCAATCACTCCCCTCTTTTTGTCAAAAATCATCTACCTCTACATTTCCAACCCTCACAGTCAGTGGGACCCTTTTTTGCTGCCAAAATTTATAACATCATTTGCGGGCCATACACAATTATCAACTTGAAAATTAGCCTGCTATATTTGGTCAAACATTTAATTAACTCACTCCTAATGTGATGGCTCAGGTAGTATAGAGGTTATGAGTTGGGCTGCTAAACTCAAGGTCAGCAGTTGGAAACTACCAACTGTTCCACAGGAGAAAGATGAGGCTTTCTGCTCCTGTAAGGATTTACAGTCTCAGAAACCCTATGCAGGGTCGCTATGGGTCGGAACTGACTCCACGGCATACCCCCACCACCACTAATGTTACGGCTAGAACAGGTGGTTGCCTTGGCAGGGCCGGACACCCCCCACCCCCACTGTATAGGGTTTCCGAGGCTGTAAACTCAGACTTGTAGCACCCATTTCGTCCTCTCCACAACTTCTGCTCTTCATACTCCAGGGAGGACAGGATGCCAGGAGGGAAGTACCTATGTGGGATCTGCAAGGACGAGATAGACCAGTGTCTGTTGAAGCCTCTGGTGTGTGATACAGGGAAACTTGGGAGGACTGTTACACATGTTTCATGTCCTATGTTTCAGACATCGATGAGTGTGCGACTTCACAACGTATGTGCCCAGGGGGGACTATGTGCGTCAACACCGGTGGAGCCTTTGAGTGTGTCAACCCAGAATGTCCCGAGGGCAGTGGCAATGTGAGCTATGTGAAGACATCCCCATTGTGAGTATTGCTGGGCTGTGCATGGTGGGTCATCGCTGACCCAGGCCTCCCTGTGGGCCAGACCAGATTCTTCCTGGACGTTCTTAGGAGAAGGGATCGTTATTTCCTAGGAAAGATAAATGGCAGGGAGCTGGAAGTCTGGCTTCTCTGAGCTTCCATTCCGCTCTCATGGTTGCATGTAATACATTGGTGGTGGTTATGTGTTGTGGAGCCGGTTCTGACTCATAGCAACCCTGTACGGGGTTTCCGAAGCTGTAAATATTTACAGGAGCAGAAAGCCTTATCTTTCTCTCGCAGAACAGCTGGTAGTTTGAAACTGCTGACCTTGTGGTTCACAGCCCAATTCGTAACCACAACACTACCAGAGCTCCTTATTTAATACATTATGTTAACACAGTACGTGATAAGAACACAGGACTGCATGAAGTGTCCCCAGCTGATGTAGATGATGATGGAATTGGAGCCACCCAAGTACAACACTTTCAGAGAGGGCTACTGAAGGGAAGAAAGCTGTTGAGGACATTCCCTAGGTACCAACAGCCCTGGAAACAGGTTAACACCGATTTGAGAGAGGATCATTTCCTCAAGCACACATGATTAGTAACTAGGAAGCTCCAGTCAGATTGCATATCCCGTACACTTGCATTAATAACACTTTGCTTTTCCAGTGATACTAGAAGGTTCAACTTGTCATAGCTTTAGTACTTAAAAAAAAAAAAAAAAATCAAAACTCTACTTCCATTGTAAGTAGGAGGTGGGACTCTAAAGGCATTACTATAATTACCACAAAGTACATGCATTTTCTTCTGGAAAGGAGATCACAGGAGCCTAAGCACTGTCCTTAGAATTCAGAGAATTGACTTTACAAGCGTAGTTATTTGAATTGGTTTTTGGATTCTAGCAGTTTAGCAGCAGCAAGATGGTCCACGGTACCCGAGGAGTGGCAGTTACTAGTGAAAGGGAAGACACCGGAACCTCCCTCACTAAGTGGCTCAGGGGCATAATGTCCATCAAACCTTGGAGTACATCCCTGACTAACAGTCAAATGTGCTGTCTCACCTGAATAAAGCATTTTCACAAGGTCCTCAATTCCAAATGGGTTAAGGAAGACTGGATTTTCTGTTTTAGGATAGCTGGTTATTTCAAAGTTTACCATGTGGAGTATTGTGTTCCTGGCTGTCACCAGACACTGCTGGGTTCCCACAGTTATTGAACCAGGTCTCAATACACATAGGCAGGGACTCTGCCCTGAATGCCAGCATCACCACTGTTACCTAATCTCTCTAGACTTGATTTTTCCATAAAGACTATGTTGTTGTTGTTAAGTACCATCAAGTCGGTTCTGACTCATAGCAACCCAAGGAGCTGTTGGGTTTGAAATGCCAACCTTGTGGTTAGCAAGCCAGTGTTTACCTTATAGCATCACACCAGGACTCTGTAAAGACTATAGTAAAAACATGCATACATAGACACACACACATACATACCTGTATTTTCATAAATCTCCCTCAAGTACCTGAAAATATTGGGGCCATGCAGGTGAGAGGAGCAGTACCCAGGAAGAGAAATACAGGCAGTAGCCCTTCCCTGGCCATGTCTGATGCCACCCCCTCACTTGCTGCCAGCTCTGAAGCTCTTACGGCGAGGGACCCTTATGGCTGGGGAAGGCCATCTGGTGGCTCTGTGGGGACAAGTGGGACAGACCTGCCAGGTTTCCCCAAGGCCTACTCCTTCTATTTTGCTTCTCTGCTTCAGCCAGTGTGAGAGAAACCCCTGCCCCATGGACAGCAGACCCTGCCGCCATATGCCCAAGACCATCTCCTTCCATTACCTGTCTCTGCCCTCCAATCTCAAGACGCCCATCACGCTCTTCCGCATGGCCACAGCCTCTGCACCAGGCCGACCTGGGCCCAACAGCCTGCGGTTTGGGATCGTGGGTGGAAACAGCCGCGGCCACTTTGTGATGCAGCGCTCAGACCGACAGACAGGCGAGCTGATCCTCATCCAGACCCTGGGGGGGCCTCAGACGCTGGAGGTGGACGTCGACATGTCAGAATACCTGGACCGCTCCTTCCAGGCAAACCATGTGTCCAAGGTCACCATCTTTGTGTCTCCCTATGACTTCTAAGGGGGCCATGGAAGCACAGGGAGCTAGAGATCCATGTTCATTTCTCTTCCCCAAAGACTCTGCCATGGGCACTGACTGCAGTGGACATCTCTCTTCTCTCAGTCTTGCCCCTGCCTACCTGCCTGATACCCAGTCCTCAGGGGCATGCTGCTCATTGTCCCAAGGACTGGCACAGAGAGATGGCCACAACCCCCAAGTGCTGCCATCACACTGTTCTGCTTTAAAGCCCTTGCTTTAGATTACGCTCCAACTGTCTCAAGTCTTTTTCTCAGGGGACGGACAGCTTCTCAAAATGCTGTGAGAATGGCTTTTTGGGTTTGGACTCATGGTAGGTTTTGAGATGATTGTCAGTCATTCTGCAAAGCATTGTTATAATCAAGCTTTGTTATAAAAAGGTTCTGGGTATGCTGAGGTTCACATGATTCCCCTTTACACGTGGTGCTGTGTGTGGAATCTCCTCCCAGGACCTAGCATGTTCTTGTTTGCATTTCCTTTCTCCTCAGAGAATCGTGTCAGGGCCTGGAGCCCCACACAGATTCTTCCAGACTGAGGAACCAACACTAAAGTGTAGATTCTGCCTGATTCACTTCCCTTTTAGGAAATCATGTCTCAAAACATAGCCAGGTGTTATAACGAGAGAAATAAACTTGTTTCTTCTTCCCTGTGCCCACCTGATCTCTCCTTGAGCGCCACATAGTCCTATTTCTTTCTTTCTCTTTGTTTTTTGTTTTTAAGTTTTTATTGTGAACTGAGTGATCGTTTACATGGGAGAACATCAGTTTTACACTCATCCTATTGTATTTCATTTCATTGCAATGATTACAGTCCCCTCCATGCATCATCATTCAACAGTATTTGCTTCTATTTCCTTTGG